GAGCGGGGGGGACACGACATTGCCGGGGTGGGCTGGGGGCTGACGGCTGGGTCCGGGGGGGCTCTTGTGGTCACGGCCCTGGTTATTCCTGATCCACCAGAGGCTGATGGGTGGAGAAGCAGTTTGAGAAGAGAGGCTGAGGACAGGGGGACGCGAGGGGCCTACATGGACCAGCCCCCCCATCCTGCATCGTACGTAGCGCGTCGCCCAGGCCCTGCGCTGCATTGCACCGCACAGCCCCGGGCTGGCCCGCGGCCGCTCGGTCCTGCAGCCGTTGCACTGCGTTCCCTGCACAGCCCCTGCGCTGCACCCTGCTGCGCTGCACCCCCTGGGCACAACATGGCCTCGTGCTGCACGGCCTCGGTACTGTGCTGTGCACCCCAGTACTGTGCTGTGCACCCTGGTACTGCACTGTGTACCCCAGTACTGTGCTGTGCACCCCAGCACTGTGCTATGCGCACCAGTACTGTGCTGTGCACCCTGGTACTGCACTGTGTACCCCAGTACTGTGCTGTGCACCCCAGCACTGTGCTATGCGCACCAGTACTGTGCTGTGCACCCCAGTATTGCTCTGTCCACCCCAATACTGCGCTGTGCACCCCAGTACTGTGCTCTGCACCCCAGTATTGTGCTGTGCACCCTGGTACTGCACTGTGTACCCCAGTACTGTGCTGTGCACCCCAGTATTGTGCTGTGCACCCCGGTACTGCGTTCTGCACCCCAGTACTGCACTGTGTACCCCAGTACTGTGCTGTGCACCCCAGCACTGTGCTATGCGCACCAGTACTGTGCTGTGCACCCCAGTATTGCTCTGTGCACCCCGGTACTGCGTTCTGCACCCCAGTACTGTGCTGTGCACCCTGGTACTGCAGCGTGCACACTGGTACTGCGCTGTGCACCCCAGTATTGCTCTGTGCACCTCGGTACTGCGTTCTGCACCCCGGTACCGCATCACCCGGTGCGGCCTGCACCCCCCCCCCCTCCTTGCCCTGCCCTGCCCCGCCCTGCGCGGTCGCCCGGACCCCATCCCCGGCGGCCCCCCCCCGCCGTTGCCCCTTTAAG